TGGCTTGTATCTGTGTTTCCATCTGTGACAAGGTTAGCGTTACTGTTTATTGAGGTCTTAGTAAAACTTAGAGAAGTCTGAGAATGACCCTTAACAAAGGAGGTTACGAGTCTTGATGCTTGTGGATTCTGTCCCTGGTCTTGTCCTCCCACCGTCCCGTCTCTCCTCACCATCCCTTTCTGCAACAGGAAGTGGTCAATGCGGCTTTTAAGCTGGGGGTTGGGGAGGGGCTGGCAGGTGGAGGTGAAGGGGACGCCGGTGAAGGGGTCGTTTGGAGGTCGACCCCAAGCGGCTTCCCTCTTCTGGTACTCCTCCAGAGTGGAGGCGTCCACTGACATTCCACTGGGAAGCAGCATAGGGAGCGCCATTGTTTCCTGCGTCAGAGGATCCAGGAATTCTTCTGGGATGGAAAAACTAGCCGAACCAAAAAGAAAGCCAAAATAAATCAAACACTGTTTGTCTTCAAATGATTTCGTTCAGACTGAGTCATCGTGAAATCAGATGTTCTCATAAATTAAAATAAACATTACTCGAAATGTTCTGTACCTTAGGCTGTTCTGGAGGGTGTGTGTTGTTTGCCCGACGGGAGGAGAAAAAAAATCAGGGCGCTCCACCCGCCTTTCATTTCCCTCCTGGATTCTTTGAATCCTCTCCACTTCCTCAGCGGGGCAGCAGCGCGCAGGTTGCCCCCACACCGCCAAAGCCTTCAACCCCAGAGAAGACCCAGCACCGCCGCATGGTACAGTGACACGAAGCTGCGTCACGGCGCTCAGCGACTGCAGCCCCCGGCTCCACAGCTTCACCTGCCGACTGCTTGCCGGCGGTGGAGGAGGAGCAGAGAGAAATGGAGCTCGGGGACGAAAGTTTGAATGACTGAATGAAACTCGGGTTTCTTCTGTGAGTTCACAACGAGCAACCTGCTTGAACTCTGATTCAGAGCTCGACTGAGATTGGAAGTCTGTCTGTGGAGGCCCATCTTGAGCTTCTTCCTCCCACTGTTGGGCCTGAATACTCCACTGACTGCCATTACTCTCCCGAGACCGACTAGAAACAGGTTGATGCTTCTGTCTGTTCTTTATGGACTGGTCCTTTGCCTGGTTTTTACTCTGCGCCTGTCGATGAATCTGCCCAGGACTTAACAGAGCACTGACATCTGAACTTGTGCTGATCTCCAGTTTTTTGCAGGCTTGGCCCCGGTCCAATCCCCAGGGCCATAGCTCCACATCCACCCGGCTGAGCTCCACTGGGAAGCTAAACTTTAATGTCACCTTCAAGGGATAAGAGGAAAAATAGATGCAGAGATCAGCATTATATCAGCACATAAGTAATAATCAGAAATTGATAGAAAAAAATTATTGCTAGTTGTCAAATCCGATAGCAATACATACTTTTAAGTAGAATTGAAACAATTAATTGGATTAATCAAATTAATCTGACTAATCATGATGTGATGTGCATTCCTGCACATGAACAGATCGGTCGTGTCTGACTCCCAGTGACACCAGTGAGTCTATATAGTCACATGACAACAGTAATCTTCTTAATCTTCTCGTAAAACGCAATCTTTTTGTTGCGTTTCATCCCTACTGACTACCAGAGTCCTGAGGAATCTGGTAGAAAAAGAAGAAAATACAACATAAAGGCATGCCCACTGTACTGAGACAAAGATGAATACTGCAAAAGAATCCCTTACAACAGGTGACACACAGCCAGGTGTAGCCTGTCAAACCCAACAAAAGCATTTGACAGCCACTGAAAGCCACAGGAGCACCGTTGGTGTCTATTTCATGACTCAGTGACTGAGCTTTCACCTGGTCACAAATGACCATCATTCGGACCGGACCAAGAACAGGCGGGCAGCGGCGGAACTGATATTTAGTTACATCACTTAACTTCAGTTTGAAATTGTTTAAAAAACACAGTTGACACAACCCACACATCAGAGACTTTATTAATGGTGCCTGACGTCTGAACTGAACTTGGAAAGAAATCTTTTCAGTTTTCTGCTCCATCTTCTTGGAACCAGTTGCAAAAATACATAAATGTGAAGGAGTTGTTGTCACTAAATGCTTTTAAGGCTGTTCTCACTGAGTTCAAGAAATCATCTGTCTGGAAATGTTTTAACTCAGAAATCTTTTAATTAATTTATTTATGACAGAGTTTACTTTTTTGGGTTTTGCTGTTAATGTTCTGTAACCTATTGACCAGGATTCTCTTTCAAAAGAGTTACTGAACGTCAGTGGGATTTTCCTGATGAATTAAAGGGTAAATAAAATAAAAGCGCAAAAGATTTAAAGGCAATAGAATGAAATAGAAAATGTTTGAAGTGCTGGACGACTAAATTAAACTAAAAAAAGTAATTTATTCCACAATAACGAACAATCTTACATGCAAGGGTGGACGTAAGAAGTATTCCAACTTGAAGCCTTTTTTCCGTAGTGAAGGGTCTCCTGACACAATGTTTGTAACATCATAGCCATCTGCACAGAGCTAAAGATATAACATAAAAGATATGCACGTCAGTAAAAGCCTTAAACAGCATGTCTATGCATCTTTTTATCCTGACAAATGGCAATGATACCCATGGACAACTGTTTCTATGACAGAGGAGGAGGCAGCAGAAAAAGAGAGAAATCTGTAATTTTCTTGGCAGAATAAAAGGTACATATTATATGTCCTGAAAAAAGGCAGCCGTAATAGATTACAGAAATGGAATAAAAAGGACAAGGACAGTTGTGATTTATTCTCCCACGCTTCACATTGTACCCTTCCCTTTCACACAGCCTTCCTCCACATCCCTCCAGGAAAAAAAACAAAAAAAACGTCTCGTCTGAGTTTCTTCATAAACTTGAAAGAGCGACGGCTTTGAAAAAAATCTAGTATCGGTCTCTTTTGTGAGAGAGCTATAACTGTTGTCGATTCCTGTCACTTCATTATAGTAAAATTATTATCAGTGTTGGCATGTAAGAAAACAGCTTGAGGGTTGTACAGTTCTGTGAATAGGCGTTAAAACATGTCACACCTTGTTGCAATGAGCCGTTGTTGAAAAGTGTGGCAGACAGAGGTTCACAACCATATTCTGCAACCTGCAAAGACACAAAGTGATTTAAGAGCAAAACAATGTGATGCTTTCTGTAATGTACAGGCAACTTAAGGCCAAAGAAAAGTGATTCACTTAGGGATTCAAAAACTAATTTGTGTTTTCAATCTCTCGTTTTAGTTCATATAAATTTACATCCGCTATCCATGTCTCATTACCAAATTAAAAAGCAGTTTTAAGAGAGGAAGACTGCATCAACAGAACAAATAAATTGTGACTTACTCTCCTGTTTTCACCATAAGGTTTGCAGCTGTAGCAAAGGTCAGACTTTGGTTAGTCTTTGCAGCCAACATTATTCCATAAGGAAAAATGCTCAATTCAATGCCACCAGAAATTGAAGTATCTTTGTGTTAATCAGAAATCAAGGTAAATTATTTTTATTTATTTATCTGGGAGGATGTGCATCCTCAGCATGTGAGAACTCTGTGGCTTTCTGAAGCGTTTTAAAAGGTTTTTCCATAGATAGACAGATATGACCAAAGAGGGATCAAAACAATTTCTCTGTCTAAGAGTTTAATAGCTTGTGGTTTAATGGTGGCACTTACTCCTTTAGCTTCCAAAACATGACTGTTCAGAAGTTTTCAGACGCTGAAATATTTGTAAAACATCACATTTCCAATGCATTTCTTATGACAGCTCTGATTCAGACTGCTTACCGAGACAGTACAGTTCCTCATTTTTATTTTTACATTAGTTCACACTTTTTCATTTACATTGAGCTTTTTTCTTGTACACCTAAATTTTAACATTAAGGGATATTTTATATTATTTTTAGTGATTACAGTAGAAAACTGCTGCACAGAGTACGACAGTGTTCATGAATGCCACTGAAACATTTAATTTCACTGTATCTAATAAGTAAACTAACGTCTAACATGTTAATATATGTGTTTTTGTTACTGTATTTATTTGACGGCGGTCCATTGCAGCCGTACTTCATACAGCAGCTAGCAGCTAACAGATTTATCTGGAAATGCAAACGCTAGAACGGGCTGACGATATCAATAATCAAATTAATATGTAGGGAAATAAAAATAGTAAAACCTGAACACTTGCCTGCTCAGTTCTTTACTATTTCTCCTTTGGATATCTTTTGGAAACAGCTAGCAACAACATGCTACAAACACAACAACCGGTATGTCTACGGAAGCCGAGGAAGATCGTATTTGTGATTTCTTTCCTTCTTTTATTTATTTATTTTTATCAGCGCTGACTCATTTTCCCTTTTTTCTGGTTGACATCAGTTCTGGGTCCTGTTTGTTCTTGTTCAAACTCTGTTTTAAAGCCCAATGAAGAAATCGTTTCTGTATAGTTTACTTTACATGTCCTTCCAGTTATATGGCTGTATTTTCATTATTTATGCATCGTAAATATATTATGCAGCTGCACTCAGTTAAATGACTTCTGCAAAATGTGTCTTTATTCTGGTCTTTGTTTGGACCTCTGGTGATAGTACTGCTCTGTATTTATTTATATCTTCTTTTCAAGACTGATTTCATAGAGAATTCATTCTGTCATACAAGACAATAAAAACATTTTCAATATTTCCCTCACACTGTATGTTATAGCTAAAACTGAATGCCAACTTGATCCTAAAATAATTAAGATTCAGATGGAAAGCAGAAGTGCTGTTTATGATCTCAGATCATTCAATCTATTGTCTTTAATGAGATTCATATCTAAGAAACCATGTTGGGGATTTTTCTTCTTACTTCTAATAGCTCACAAGATAATTATTAAGGCTAAAAGAAAATCTGGTTTCAAACAAGTCCAAAGGATAAAAGGCACATGTGACTTTTGACAGTAAATGTTACCGTCCATCAACATTTTTCATTCCAGAGTTTAATCTGGTGTTTTCTAGAGCATTAAAAAGACTTACTCATGGACAAAAGCAACTGAATAATTTGCATATCTTTATTAGTTCTGCTGAATATTAACAAATGAATGGTTTTAATCAAGCCAGAGCAGTACTACTAACATAAATGCAAACAATAAAAATTTGAAACATGTATAAAACCAGAAGCATTTTCTCTCTAAACAATGCAATACTGTAACTACATCACCTACAACAAAAAGAACATTGTTATTTATTTTTTTTATTTTTTGGACATGTTTGCTATGATTGCACCATTATGGGCAGCCAATTGACTAGCTACACAGTTAAAAAAAACACAGAAAGGAAAGCTAAAATGGCACATATTTTTTCATCCTTCAATTCACCATAATATAATAACAGTAATAAAGATGATAATACTATGTAATACCTTAGAGATAAGTTAATATTCTTGAGCAACATTTTTTTTAATGCTGGCATAAACAACAGTTATAAAAGCCGTGATATTCACATCTGACTCTACTATACATCATAACTCATGTGTAGGACACTACATAGTGCAGTTAGCCTGAATGCTCTCCTTTAAAAAGGCAAACTTTCCACCTTTTAGATTTTTTTTTTTAAACTTCCTCCTTCTCTGCTTTTGTCTATGCAAATTATACAGAAGAAAGTAAGAGTTTTCTAGATATGCACACACCCTTGATATAAAATTTTAGTCTCACAAGCTTTTATGTACCTTTTATTTATACAACCAAAATTTTAAAAAGCTGTAACATTGTGTTAAATGTAAATAAAAACGCAATGCAATGGTCAGCAAATCTTCTAAATTAGTGGTCTCAAACTGCATTCCTCAAGGACCAGAGACTTGTTATTTTTAGATGTGTCCCTTGTCCTACACACTTGAATTGTGAAGGACTGAATTGTGTCACTATTATTCAGTCTAGCTCTGCAGATCTATGCTAGTGAGCTCATATTGGAGCCAGGTGTGTTGAAGCAAATTTAAAAATTGCAGGACACCGGCCTTGAGGAATGAAGTCTGAGGCCCCTGCCCTACACTCATAGTTTATTCACTGGAAGATAATATAGTAAACATACCAAATGTACAAACTCAGATAATGAATCACTGTTTCCATCCCTCCATTCTCTTCCTTTTATCTGATACTGGGCAATTGGGGTAACAGTTGGACATGCAGACACCTTCTTTCCAGCAACACTCTCCAGCTCATTCAGGTAGATCCCAAGGCTTTCCCAGAAGGAAAACAAATATAGTTCCTCAAGCCAATGCTCGGCCATCATAAGAGTCTTCACCCAAACCATGGGTACCATGAAAGCCTTCATAGGGATGCTCCTTGGAAGCACCTTAAGATTCCAAAACCATTTCATTTGAATTCTCTCAGTGTTGAAGAGCAGCTGCTGTAAGTATGAGCTCTTCACTCCACAACTTAAGGTGAGATGAGAGAAGAAGCCCATGTTGACCATTTTATCCCAAGAGCTTGTTTTTTCTGTCCTAAGCCATATCCTGTGACGATAGAAAGGGAAGAGCACATAGACGCACCAATTGGGTTCAGCCTTCTTCACATCAGCAGAGGGGAGAAGTGCCTGCGTGACTGTAACTGAAGTTCCTGTCTATCTCCTGCTCTATCTCTCATCAACGAGGCGCTACGGCACTTGGAGTCCCCTGCTTGAACCACAGAGTGACCAGCATCTTGGAGGGTTTACCTTCCAGATAAGAAACTCTTGACTGCCATTTGCAGCAGTGTGGTTTTAATGTTGAATCTCTCAGAAGTAAACTTAAATAAAATTACACATTTGTTTGCACATTACAGGCCCCTTGGATTCAACTAGAGATTGTTGAAACACCACCTACCTGAGTATTGTTCCTGACCATGTTCACCCCTTTATGACCACAGTGTACCCATCTTTTTATGGCTGCTTCCTGCTTGAGAGGTACAAACTTCAAGTCATCTCAAGACAGATTTGTTGCAAAGCTGCAGCAACAAATAAAGTGAGTACACAGGTTTCAGAGCAGCATATGTTCTCAACAGGGGCTGAATTTGCCTGCGTGGCGACTCAGGACTTTTTTCTATCCTGTATTGGACAAGAACGGGATAGCACTGTCCATCCAAAAACTTCAGCAACTGGTCTCCATACTTTCTTTTTTTGTATTGATTATTATTAGAGTCTCGAACAAATGATGCAATATATTAGTTTCGACATTTAATATGTGTTCTATGTCCCATAGTGACTGAAATACGCGTTTATCATCCAGCCGTTGGTGGTATTCCACTTATTGCAGCTGCCCAGGTAACAGACCCAGTAGGAAAACCCAGACTGCCCCATCTCAGTACCATTTCAGGAGATCACATGACAGCTTTATCCACTTGTTGAAGATTTGCAAAGCATTGTAATGTGTTTTTATTTTCATTTTACGCGTCTCAATATTTTTAAAATATGCATCGCATCTTTTCCCTTCATACTTCTTAGTTTGTATTGCCACTAGTCCCTCTATCCTCAATCTCATAAGCTGAAGCTTTTCATATGTATACACACATGCACACACTCTCTTTCATACGTCCTCACACGCACATTTACAATCTATAACTATAATAGGTATATCTTTCTGCAAGTATATCATACATTCTATAAAAAATTTTCCCTTTGGGGGTACTGACTGCCTGCCTGACTGAATGGCTGGTTTCTTGGCAGTGAATGTACAGAGACACAATTATCATAATATTACTCAAATTCAAACTGTGTGAGTACATTCACGTTCTTGCAGTTCAGTAAAGGAGTTCAGCTGGAAACGTGCTCCTGTGACCTTCATTGTTGGTCACTGCATTGAATCTAAAGTGAGAGCTGATGGAGTTCTCTTATGCTTAAAAATGTCATTTATACTCAGTTTGGGCTGATTATCTGCTAAACAATTGTATTTAAATTCAATTTGTAGAAAATATAAATTCTCTTGGTCTTAGTGTTTAAATGGGCCATGTATGTTGGACCCTGTGCAGTGTATGTTTGTGTATGTGTGTGAGACTTCAGAGGTCAACATCTGCTGAGATTAAAAAAGAAAACAGTCCAGCCCCGTATAATAGTCTTGCGCAGCTGGTGTGCCGATATTACAGTTAAAGCACTGAAAATAAATAACCATGCTCTCTATCTTTTTTTTTTCTTCTTTTTTTTTTCAGTTCCCAGCACCAGTTTGCTCTCTTACACTTGCTGGGAAGGATGGGGTAAAGCGCTCTCTGGCCAAAATGTAAGTTGACGTCACACACTCTGACCACTAATTCTACTTTTACATAATCAGTGACATAGACTTACAATGAATAAACAGCACAATATATTCTTGTTAATCATTTCCGACAATATCCCTGATTGTCTTGTTCCTTTTCTGGCATGGGAATTAAATGATGCATGTAATAGGTCTGTAATTAAATTTTTTTTCATTGTTTTCTATTTTTTTTTGCCATCCAACCCCATGGCACACATTTCTGATAATGTAAGATGTATCTGTGTGCAACACTAAGAGAGAGAAAGGCCTCTTAGGAGGTTAAAAATTCAGCAATAATGCAGAATGTAGTTCAGTTTCCTGTTGATATGACGTTTGTTCCTGATAGGTTTGTTGCTTTGAAAAAAGTGATTGTTTTAGACCTTGGGTTCTACTGTATGCTGAAATGGGTTTTGTGTAAGAGGCCTCACCACTGTGAGTGTAGAAAAAAAAGAACATTAGCATCATGAATCTGTATCTATATCTCTGTGGACTCTATCCTCTCCAGGCGCGACGGTCCGGCCCATGGAGGAGCGAGTTGGTGGAGTGAGGGGGGGCCCTTTTGGTCTTCACAAGGAGGAGAGAGAGTGAGGGCGATGGGTCCAGAAAGGGAGGGAGGAACAGAGATGGAAGGAGGACCAGAGAGGGAAGGAGGACCAGAGAGGGAAGGAGGACTAGAAAGGGAAGGTGGACCAGAAAGAAATGGAGGTCCAGAGTGGGAAGGGGGACCAGAAAGAGAAGAAGGACCAGAGAGAGACGAAGGACCAGAAAGGGAAGATGGACCAGAGAAGGAAGGGAGTTGCTGAGGAGACAATGGCGACATGGCTGGTGGTGGAGGTGGTGAGTTGGAGGAGGTTGGGGAGGTGGTGGCAGTGGTGACAGTGGTGGTGGAGACTGTGGTTTGCTTGGTTCCCAACTGGCTCATGCGCTTTTCCAAAGCTTGGTTTTTCTGTAGAGTTTCCACATAGCTGAGCTGCAGTTGTGCCTGATACTTCAATACCCGTTCCTTCTCGTCCTGCCAGGTGTGCCGTTCCTGGTCAAAGTTGAGGGCCTGTCGTTCCCGCTGCTGCCTCTCCAAGCGCAGTACACCCTGCAGCTGCTCAAGCTGCCTGCGCAGCTCCCCGGCCTCATCCCAGTGACCCTCCTGCGCCCGCTGTGGTTGATGGGCTTCCTGACGCAGCTGCATGTCCTGGCAGAGTTGGGAGTCGTGACGGAGCTGGGCCTCTTGGCGCATTTGAGCCTCATGGCGGAGCTGGGCCTCCTGACGCAGCTGTGCTTCTTGGCGAATATGGGCCTCATGGCGAAGGTGAGCCTCTTGGCGGAGCTGGGCTTCCTGGCGGAGCTGGGCCTCCGGTCTGATCTGCGGGTTCTGACCCATTTGGATGTCCGGTTGCATGTGGGTGTCTTGTCGGTGCTGCACATCGCGCCACTGAGCTTCTTCACGCTGCTGCCTCTCCTGCCTCTGAGCTTCCTGCCTTTGGGCTTTGGCTTCATCGCTCTGCAGGCTGAGCAGGGTGTCGGATGTGGGGGTGAGCGAGCTGGTGGAGGGCTCAGTCGGGTTTCGAGGGCAGTGGACAGCTCCCCACGGTGGCAGCAACCCTGCTGCAGCTAAGTTCGGGCTCACAATCACTTCTGCTCCTCTGCTCGCTTCACTCAGAGCACGCTTTAAACTTAGCACCTCTGCCTCAAACACACCCAGCTTCTCTCTCAGGATGGACACCTGTGGAAAAAAGAAATGCAAACTCTTATGTAAACAGAACATTGTAACTTTTAGATTTAGTTTAGAGTTATAGACAAAAAGTGTGGTGTGCTTTTTGTCACCCTTTCTGAATAATTACTTAATTAATCCACCTTTTGCTGCATTGACAGCTGTAATTCTTATGGGGAATGTCTCTACCAGTTATGCACAGTAAAAAAATGTATTCATTGTATTTTTTTTATTTTTATTTTTTTTTTTGCAAAAATATCCCAGACTCTGCCAGAAAAGATAGAGAAAGACTAAAACATAAATGTTCTATCTTTTTCTTACATTATACCTTAAATTTTGGACTGGAATTTGACTAGGCTATTCTAACTGATGAATATCATTACATTGTTGTAGCTCTGGCCACAGTTTGAACCAAAATTAGTTTTTAAAATTAGCTTGTGATTTGTTTAATCAACCACTTTTCACAAACCCAAGTGTGTCAACAAATTTTTGCTAGAGTCTGAGAATACTGAAAGGTTAAGAGAACAGGTAAAAAAAATCATTACAATGGCAAAAAAACAAAACATATTCCTGGTTTTTATGAGCCTTTTTTCTTTTTTTCTTTGGAGGAAATTAATTTAAATGCGTGACTTTTTCTGCCTGCTTATACGTCCAATGAAGTGGCAGTTTTGATATCGGCAACATGTGAAGTTTTCCAGGATGCCATCAGATGCTGAAAGCACCAACACGAAACAAAAGATATTGTCAGTCAAGCCCCGAATGAGTTTTGTACTGAATTTACTACGAGTAATCAGTAAGGAGTTGACGCCGCCTAGTGGTGAACAGGTGCACTAACATCAGCGGAAACAGGTTAGATAAGTGTGCATCGCAGAGTTTTACTCCAATCTACCTTTTAGTAGATTTATTGGATTTCCATTTGTTTGTAGGAAGGCCCCTGTCTGCACTCACTAACAAAGCTACATTCTTTGAATTCTTGACATTTTGCATGATGAAACAATCTGTTATTTATCAATTTGGCTCGATTTAATTCATTTTTTAATATATATTTTTGTTATACAATTCAAAAAGACAATCAACAGTATTACACACTTTTTTTCCTAACCACTAACCATGTGTTTCAGCAGTTTTCTTTTACACAGTGAAGGTGTATTATTGTAATTATATAAATGTGAAGTTATTAAGTCTGAACTATTTATAGTGAGAGGGAACAAAAAGTCAAAAAATGTGAACTTTTTAGTCAACGGTTCATTCCTTAATATTTTTTTTAGGAAGTGAATCTCGTACCGCAACAAAACAAAATGTTGCTTGGTTTTGTGAACAGTTTAACATCAGCTCTTATGTTGTGTCTCACAATTACATGAGATGTTCAACACAAGATGAAGAACATACAAAGAACAACACAGTAACCCTGCAATAAAATCAAAGTGTAACAGTAAGGCTTCTATAATAAAAATACAGGAAGTGATAAAGTTACTGTAATTTCTTTAAGGTAAAAATTACTGTAACTGGCTGGCAACCCTGCTGCCAGTAAGATACTGTAAATTCTACAGTGACTTTTTTTACTGTGTATTTTTTCTACACGTATACATGGTAATGGGTCACTTTTGACCTGCAAGACAACACAAGGTTTAAAGTGGAGATTCCCAACCCTGATTTTTGGGAAGTGATCCTCCAACATTTAGATGTGTTGTCATTGCTTCAACACGCTTAACTCTGATGTTTTAATTACGTGCCATGATTTCAGGCATGACGTTCCCAAAGACCAGGGTCAGAGATCTCTTCTCCAACCCCAGCCATGGCGGACATAGTTTGCAATCATTTATGTATATTTTATAAATAGGGTAACTCTGTGTAAAACTACTGAAAAAAAATGCACAAACATTTTCTCAATTATACTGATTTTCTACCGACAAACTCTTTCGACATTTCATTGATTTGTATTAACAGAAAAAATAATAAATAGTTGTCAAAATTTGAAACATTTTAAATGAAAACGGAACTTGTTTTCTATGTTTTAAGGTCAATTAATACCAAGTTTTGTACAAACAACATTGACGAACTCATAAAGTATGTGATTTTTTCTTGATATGACAGTGAAGTTTGCTTTAAAAACCCACCTCAGACAGTGTCCTCCTCAGCTCGCCTTCACACTTCTCCAGTTCCAGACACTTTGAGCTGTAGGAGTCCTTCAGACCCAGCATGACCTCCTCCCGCTCCCTCAGCTGGGCGTTGAGCTCCTTCAGCTGGCCCCTGAGGGCCACCATCTCTCCGGCCCGCTGGGTCACTTCAGCCTGACTCTCTCTGAGTTGCTGCTTCAGCAGGGAAATCTCACCTGCTTTCTGACAAACCTGCCACAGGAACAATGCACGAGTTTTATATAGTTTAGCTTCATCTACTGTTATTGGCAACTGTAGAAAAGACATGTAAAAATCGCTTTAAAATACATTATTTGTGATATGCTGAAAATGGGTTGTCAGAAGGTAATTTAGAAGGATTATGTACCAAAACACAGACACAACTCTGTTCAAGTATTTCTTCACAATAAAGCTGTTTTCCCCTCATAATGTCTTGGTGTTGATGCATTTTTTGAAGAATTTCTCTAATGTACAGCTAAAAATCTCTGACTTAGTAAGATATATACATCTAGTGTGTTTTTCAGAATGGAAATCCTGCAAAAAGAGGTGAGTTTTGATCAACTTTTTCTTTTAAAAAATAGGATTTTCCTGTACTTTTATTCAGAAGGACAAGATTATGATGATCCTGAGTCACATATAATAATGATTCTACATGCTTGAAGGAGAAAGCAGGGATGTTGACTTTTATTTGATGTTTTATTCAGAAAAAGAATGCTATAAAGATATTGTGTACAGTATTTTGTTTAAGGCTAAGACAGAATATAAAAAAATATCTTCTAGCTTTTAAATCATGATTTTATGTTAATTTTGAACTACAGTCTTAATTTTAGCCACTAGGTGTTAAATTGATTAACATTTAAACAACTATTTTTCCATTTTAAATGCAATTAAACTGGTTACACAATGGAATTAAGTAGCAATATTCTACCTGAAATTTCTCAACAATCAATTTATCTAGCAGAGCTTTTGCATTATTTAAACTATTTTAGAAGATTTTCTTCAGGATAATTAGGAATTCAGTTCACTGCTTTGCTTGATTATCAAACCAAATGTATGAAGCTGCACAATGTCTCACCTTTAAATCCTACCTACAAGAAGGCCTGCAGTCATTTTATCAAACTAGTCAAGTGGAACATCTCATGTCTCACCTCCCACTTGGTCTCCTCCAGACGCGGCAGGATGTCAGCCTGTTCTTTCCTGTAGTCCAGGCACTTTCTCTCCAGTTCCTCTCTCTGAGCCAACAGGGCCGCCATCTCCTCCTGGAGCCTCCTCTTGTCCTGAGACAGACGAGTGATCTGGGCCTGCAGGGCGGTCTGGGAACGCTGAGCCCGGCGGGTCACCTACAGGAGAACGTAAATGTACTATTTACAGCTTGTAAAATATATTTGCACCCTTTAAAGGTTTTGGCATTTTGTTATTTTACAACTACAAGCTTTGTTGTGGTTTATCTGAAAAATAAAGCAGTGCATAGTTGTGAAATGGCAGGAAAAAACTGTTCTTGAATGTTTTGCATATAAAATTAACAAACGTGTGACCTGCATTTATAGCCAGGCCACAGCACTGCTCAATCTGTCCATTAAAAATGAAGAGTGTGGAACAAATGGAAACCCACAAAGACTTGGCTGTCTAATCTGACCCACCAAGCAAGGAAACAAAAATCTTTTTTTCCTTTTCTTAATATAAAAAAGGTATTTACAGGTTTTTCTTTAACCCCCATTTTATTTCCTCTAAAGTTTGTATGTTTATACCTTATAAATGTAGGCAGTGAGAGCTTGAAAATTCCAGGCATATTTCTTATTTGTGCACACAATCTTGACTACCAATAGGCCCACAAGAACTTTGGAGGAGCAGCAGTGATCCACAACTCAGGTGCGAGAATCTATTGATGTGACATCTGTGCACTCCACATATCTACCTTTTCTGAAAGACTGCATGGAAGGTTGTTATTGTTGAAAGGAAGTCAATAGATATCCCGTTTGCAGTTTGTCAGAAACCATTCAGGGGACGAAGCAAATGTGAAAGATGGTGAACTGCTCAGATGAGACCAAAATTTAACTTCTGGTTCGTATGCGAAACGTTAACAAACATTTAACATCATCATTTAACGTACTGTCAACACTGAGAGAGGTGGTGGTGGTGACAGCAGAGTTTACCGCAGGAAGATGTTCAATACAACTGAGGTTACCTGCTGAAGACGTGAAGCGTAGTTCTGTCTCAGCTCATCCATCTGTCGCTCCCAAACACGCTGCTTCTCCTCAAACACCTGAATGATGGCCGCCTCACTCTGGTCCAGGTTCCTGCGCATATGCTGTACCTGGAGGAAAGAGATGGAGATGGATCAGGCCTGACAGCTAAATGTATACAGAAGAAGATCAACACCTTTGATAACAATTAAGTTATAGGTTAGAGTTGTTAGTTGGCTAGCTGTTTTTTCTCACAGTTAGCCAACTTTTAGCTATATAGTTCTTAGTCAGACTTTTATTTAATATGCCAGGTTATTATAGAAATAAAACTTTTTTTTCTTTTACAGATTTGTTGAATCTGTTACTATGCTGTGACAGCATAATGTCAGACAGATCTGTGAAAAAAATCGAGCTCGTCTACTTTTCCCAGTGCTAACTGCAGAAATACACAGATTAGTCAGAAACAACCCATCAGAGCCAGGAGTAGGATTTCAGCATTGTCAGTCATGCTTGTGTATGCGCTGCTCAGACTCTCCCACCTGCTCTCTGCTGCACTACAGCTTCTTTTTGACAGCAGAGCCTGTCATAAATTTTGTCTCCAATTTTACAACTTTTTTTTTGAAAACTTTAAAACTGGTCTTTGTTCATAAATATAAAGATAATTTTCAGAGGACTTTTCTTAGATTTGATAAAATTGGTATCATGGTGCACAACATGTGTTGTAAATTGTAGAAATTTTCAAATAAATACCAAGGAGGGCATTTTTAAATGTCCTCTCACCTCTTGCTCTTTCTCCCACAGTCGGTCCTCGAGGTCCTGGATGATGTCATCAGACGAGGGGGAGGGTCGCAGAGGTGCTGGAGCGTCACTCAGGTGGCTCAGCCTCTGATAGGACGAGGAGCTCTTCCCCGAGGAGGACCGACCGCTGTCTGAGGCGCTCAGCCCGTTCTGCTGGACAGAACCACAACATGACGGTGACGCTTCCTTCATCAAAATATTAGCTGCAGGGAGAATTGAGCATCAAAATAAATCAGAGCACAGTTTTACCTGGTAGCCAGGTTTGTCCAGTTTGTCCAGACCTGCAGCTGCCCCCGCCATGCCCAATCTGTTAATGTGGCTGGTAGAAGCACTGAGGGGCCCTAAGACTGCTGGGGGCCCACAGCCAGACCCAGAGCCTGTGTAAGTGGGCAGACTAGTCAGGGAGTTTCTCCCTGAATCTGACATCCCTCCCTGAACCACCTCAGTACCATTTCCCCCTCCATCACTCCTGCTGACCCTAACAGGACTGTCTTGGTCCAGGAGCAGGGCCTCTGGTACCTCTCCTCCATCCCCTCCCACTGCATCTCTGCCTCTCCTGCCTACTCTACCCTCACTGAATCCCTCACCCCTGGCGTCGGTCTTTCCCTCGCCCCCGGCCCCTCCCGCCTGGCCCACCAGGTTCTGCATGGAGTGAAAGCTTTTGGGAACCACCGGCTTGAAGGCGGAAGGACGGACGAGGCCGGAGGTGCTCTGCATCGCCTGTGGAGTAGAAGGAGAAAGGATTCAAAATGAAATAGATAAATATTAGAGTCATTTCACTGCTAAATTATGCAATGTGTGTAAAATTGTTTACAACAGTTTAGATACACCCATCATCATCAGCATGAATGTCATATTGATTTGGGATTTTTCAGGAAATATCAGAGCCAGTCAATTAATTGCAAAAACAAGAATCGAGTGCACAGGTGGAACCTTTTGTGGATTTTCTCTAATCAACACAATTCAATCCATGAAAACCTGTATGAATGCTCAGACAGATACACACATCCCTGCTAAGTTTTGGTTAAATGCTCAGTGGGTTGTGGGAGAACCACATCGTTTTTGTCGCTTCTGGAAAATTCTGCCACTCTTCTTCACAGAACCAGAAGAAGAGTGGTAATTGTTTTTGTTGCTCAGATCCAGCTTTTAAAACAGAATCAAAGAATTTTCACTTAATATTTTTATTAATTTCTGGAATAGTTTTGCTCTGTGTTTTGGGAACAATGAACTGCATCCAGCTTTCAACCGTCTAACTTTTAATATGTGGACCTGTCAAGGAATTTATAGTTACAGTAGTCCTACCTCGTAATCCACCTATAACATATGTGCAATGCACAGTACTTACTACTGCCAGGGAAACCGACCCTTAGTATGAAACTGCCACCACCACGGTCAACAGTTCTTCTCATCATTGGGTCCAAAGAAGTTGATTTTGAAGTAGGTTCCTCTTTAGTCAATGTTTCAAGCCATAGTGATGTAAATACATTGTTTACTCTTAGGCTTGAGCCTTGTTGGTTCCTGGGTTGTTCAGGAACATTATGACTCATTCCGCTTCAGCTGAGCGTGACAGTTTGGGTTGTCCAAACAGGGGAAATTTGGACGTTTTAACACAACAGTGATCTCAAACACCCCAAAGTGGTTTAGAAAGATTTACATCAAGATTCCAGAAAGGTCGCCCCGACACCCTGACCTGAACGTTAATGAAAACTTGTGGATTATGTGACAGGAAATCAGCCAATTCTGCCAATGGTACCAAAAGCAACCAAAACTATGTTGGAAGCTTCTTGATGGCTGCAAAAACCCACAATGACATCCATGCGCGTGATGAGTGCATGTAAACTTCGGCACAGAATATTACAGTTTTGGTGTTACGTCTATAATTAATAACTGATGTCATAAAGTTAAAGAATGTGTATTCATGTCATTATTTGTAATTATTCCGATAAAGAATCAGTTTGAAGTCATATTTGCTAATATTCTCTGTGCTTGCTTATTGTGTTATATCTTGGATTTTTCACATAAGTGTCAGCAGTAATTGCCTAGCTTAAGTATATAAAAAAATGTATGTTTTTTTTAACTTTTACAATAATTTTATGGATCTTTTACACAGTAGAGAAATTCTATAGAACAGCTTTAATTACGGTGTATCACAGGATACAAAAACTAATAGTAATGGTGTATTTTCATGTTTTCCCGTTGTCTTCTGGCTGTTCTAAGGACTTATTTGATTTAGCATTTGCTGGTCAAATCAAGGTGAAATACTTTTAAACAGGGTTGTAAAGATACAGTGTTTGTTTTCCGAATAAATTAGAAATTTCTGCCATTGTTTCATGAAGCATGATCCCAGGAACAGACATGAACAAGATGAGGAAGCATTTAGATGTTGATCTCTCTCAACTTTAAAAGTGGGGTTGAAAAAATATTAAACCCATTTTTCCCCTTTTGAACCTGATGTAGCCCTGACATTTCTGACATTATGATTACATAATTATTGTCTTGTTTTTCTGTGATTTCTTTTTTGTTTTTCAGTTTTTCCTCCACTCCTCAAATGTGTCCACAGCCCATATCAACTTTCTTAAAAAAAAAAAGAATAAGAAAAAAAATAGATCCATTGATTAGAATGTAAGGGCTGTTCAAAAATGGGCTGTTTTTTCTGTTAACTGAGCTGAGCGAACAGGACTGTTGATGGAGCATGAACAAGATGCAAGTTGGTATCTTGTTCCAATTTGAAACACAGAATAAAGTTGCTCAGTTATTCCTTTATGGTGGTGGGAGTTTTCCCCTCTCAGATTAAAATTATGTAAGATAATTCCAAATTTTATTAACATTAATGGCACAAGCTTTTTTCTTTAAATTCCTTCTTGACATTTAATCCTTTCATAAAGGTTATATTTTTAACTAACTTTTCAGTGCTTGTGAGAATCTCTTAGCTTGTAAAATCTGGTTAGTGTTAGTATCTTTATTCATATTTATCTTTTGCAATTTGTGTATTTTTACTTTAAGCTACTGATAAGTTAATTGTTGGTTATTGGATCTACTGATCTCTCCATTTTATTCAGTTATTTCTACCTTAAACAAGTCTGAGTTTTGAAAAATACACAAACTCCTTAAATATATATTAGAGCTTGCTCTGTGGAAGTAAATAATACTTTAAACAGTTTCTATTTAAAAGGTAAAGAGTTATTCATATATGCATATTAATATAGTTTATTGTGGTTTCTTTATGATGAAACTGAGTCCAAAATGTCAAACTACCTGCTCCAGTTTTCCTGACACGGCCATGATCTTGGGTGGGTTGTGGCCGACTGGATTGTTTTCATTGTCGGTTCTGGTTGCAACCATGTCTCTGTGCTGGTGGTGGTTCATGCCCACACTGGTCTTCTCGCTGACTCCTCGACCCACAATGTTTCCACAAACATCCAGACTGGCCGCCTGCATCTGCATCTCCCTCTCCCTCTCTCTCTCCATCCGCTCGTTCTCCAGCCTCTCTCTTTCACGTTCCCTTTCTCTCTCCCTCTCTCGTTCCCTCTCCCTCTCTATCTTCTCCCTCTCTATCCTCTCTCTCTCCCTTTCTCGGGCCCGCTCCCTCTCACGCTCCCTCTCACGCTCCAGCCTCTCCCTCTCCACCCGCTCCCGCTCCCTCTCCCGGTTTCTCTCCCTCTCGCGCTCCCTCTCGAGCCGCTCCCGGTCCCAGTCTCTGTCCCGGTCCCGGTCCCTGCCCCTCTCGCGCTGCCTCTCCCTGTCCCACTCCCTCTCCCTCCTGACAGCTATGTTCCCACAGTCCAGCTGGTTGTTGTTGGAGGGGGCGGTCATGGTACATTCAGTGTGGGTTGAGGATGCTGTCTCTGTTGGCCTGTCAGTCCCGGTGCAGGTCCCAGTCCCGATACTAACACTGCCTCGCTCATCGCTTGACGCCGTCCCGTCCGAAATAGTTGCCGGAGCGCGAGGCAGCCGCTCGGCGCTGCAGCTGCGGTCTGCAGGGCAGCGGCGAGAGAGAGGAGGGGCTCGGGGCAGGGTGGTCCTCGTGCCCACGGACTTCATGGCAAACTCCTGCTCTCCTGCCACCCCACTGCCAACACTGCCCATAGTGGAGGTCAAAGGTCAGGGGTTAGAGGTTAGGAGTCAGGATTGGGGAGGGTCACAGATACATTTGGAAGTAGTGTGGGTCATCACAACCTAATGCAGGTAGTGGGGGCACACACACTAGAGGAACACAGAAAAACGAAAGCAGTTATACAATATAGTAATTGCATAATGACTAGTCATACAATATTAGAGGCAAAGTAGCCCACAAACAGGGGCATTGTGGTCCTCCCACCACCATGAAAAACCAAAAGGGTCACAAAGATTAGTCTGACCGGTAAAAAAAAAGTTGAAAATTATGAAACCGGTTATTTGCTTATGAGAGGGGCAAACAGAGAGAGTTTCCAACAACACACAAGCACCTGTGGTTAAGACGCGTTAAAAGACTTCAGATCAATACCTTTTGTTTTGCTGTAGCATAAAGTGCTGGGAAAAAGTTGTTTATATAATTATTTTTCTGCTTTAATTTGACAGTGTCCCACATCCAGGCCACTGGCAAAGCTCAGGAAATCAATTAAATGGATCTGAGAACGGAAAACAGGCTAACCTGGAGGTGAGAATTAATTTGTATCATTTATTATTTATTGTGATGCATTTCTTGTCATGATAAGATTTTAAATTTATTGTTGTCATAATAAATTCCAATGAAGTGACATTTACAAAACCCTAAAACTGGCCTTATTGTTGGGATTGTTATTTTCTTTACTATTTTTTCCAGTTTGTTCAACATATATATATACATTTGAAAATATAATTAAATGTGTGCAGGTTAATGATATAAATCACTTCTTTATGTGACTATATTAGCATATTAGAAATGGGCATGTTTTTCAAGAGCATTATTAGTGTTTGTGGGGCTATCATTGCTGTGCCATGCAGTTGCAGTTATACAGTAAAAAAGAAGTAATAAATTGTTCTTATCATCACTTTTATCATTATAACAATAGTATCATAAAATATCATGATAAAACTCTAAGTTCATATTAGCCATCCCTTGGCTACATGTTTTCTAACAGCAACTGATCCTGTCCCAATGTAAAGAACGGACATCTATCTTTCTGAGAAAATGACAACAAAGTCATTTCAAAGGCTTTGAGACTCCAGCAAACTAGAGTAAGAGCACTTATCCACAACTAGAGAAAACATGGGAGTAGGTCAGACTGGCCTACCAGAATTACTCAAAGAGTGCATCAACAACTCATCCAGGTCACAAAAGAACTAAAAATAACATCTAAAGCACTGTAGGCCTCACTTGTCTCAGCTAAGGTCAGTGTTCATGATTTAACAACAAGAAAGAGAGACGAGGCAAAAATATCATCTATGGGAGAGATCCAAGGCCAAAACCACTGCTGGCCAACAAGAACAAAGAGGCCTGTCTCACATTCATCTATAGATAAAAGTGGAACTTTTTGGGAACATGTGCACCTTGTAATAGCTGGTCTATAGGATGGGAAAAAAATCGTACTAACAGTCAAAGTTCTACTCTCTGTTAGAAAATCCAGGAGAAGGATGTTCTGTCATGACTTTAAGTGCAAGCACACATGGGTTAAGCAGTATGACAAAAGTCCAAGACACACCAACAAGTCCACCTGTGAATGGCTGAAAATGAAAATAAATTAAGATTTTGAAGTAGTTTACTCAAAGTCCATACATAAATCTGATTAAAATGCTGCTGCAGGACCTTAAATAGGTCATTGGAAACGTTCATGTGGCTATACCTGAAAACTTAGGCTTATGGGACAGTTTATTGTAATTTAACAATAAACAATAGAAACAATAATTTTATTTTTATACACTTATTTATGGGGGTAAAAGATTCAATGTTAATAAATAATAATAAGCTTGGGGAATGCATAGCATCGCAAACTAATTAAAATACCATCAAACTAGTGGCTTATACCAGAACACTTTCAAAATAGATGCAGGCCATTTAAAATTTGTAAAATTAATTTCCTATGTTATTTTTTTCTCACACACTTTATTTTAACTTGACTGTTTTCCAACTATAGCATTAGGTTTTAGCACCACTGATCGAGAGCGATTGGGCAAAGTTCCCTGCATAATCCATCAATATAATATATAAAGAATAAGTTCTGCCACATCAGCACTTTTCCCAATTTTTAGATAAATTTTTTTACAGGCGATTTTCCCCCCTCTGAATAAATATTCTTCAATAACAGATTTGATTATTCTACATTTTTCAATTTAAGTTTAAGGATTATTTCATTGTAATGCTTTTCACACATTTACCAAGATGTCAATGAATAGAAATTTGAAAAAGTCCCTTATGCCCATGTGAATAAAAAAATTTCCATCCAATGGTTTCACTGAACTGAAAAGTAAATGCTGTTTTTTTTTCTCACTAAAAGAAAACTAAAAGAAGCATACTTAACATAAGCTCTGTAATGAACACAGTGAAGATCGTCAACTCACTTTTCCCTCACATGCCATGTATTACTATGTAAGCTTAATATCTGTTGCTGTCATTCACAAATCTTATTACTAACCCATTATTGAAACTGTAGTTTTAAAAACTATACTAGTAGGTAACTATACTATATATTTATTCCCATACTGATGCATGCATCCATTGTCTCAAACACTGTGTGCAAATTCAGTTTTAGAGTCGATCACTTGTAGTAGGACTGCTTTAGGACCAAACAGCAATAAAACTCAATACCTCAAACTCAGCCTGTTTTTGTTGAGGTCATTGTTAGATAAGCCTGGGAACTACATATTGGAATCAGTGTTGGGATAAATTGTTTGTTTTAAAGTGGCTGAACAAATCTAATGCATTAGCTTCACAGTAACTCCATGCTGATTGTTTTGACTGTTATTGGGATGATTTTATATCCATATTATAAGTAAGACAGAATGGAAATCTGCTGCTGCCAAAAAAAAATTTTTTGTAGCCTTTAGTAGAATATTGGTGAATTTAATATTTGATTGGAACACAGTTCTTAAAAACTCAGTTCATTTTCCTCAGCTACATCTCAGGTGAGAATAAATGCATTATGGGCATGAGATTCATAATAAGTTTGGCAGTTTTTAATGATTTGCGGGGTGGAATAATTGTACACTAGACAGTGTCAATAGGGGTTCCAACACATTTTATATTTCTAAATTAATCACATACTTCATTTCTCTTAAATTTATTAATTAGATTCACAAACAATTCTGAATTTAACCAAATCATTTTTAAGGAAAGTTGTCTCCTTGTGTTTGCTTGGAGATTTAATGATTTATGGTTTTATATAGAAGTATTTATCCTATCTGGTGTTATATTTTTAGCAACAAAAAGAGGAAAGAATCCAACTGTAAAGAAATCTTAAGATGAATCATTACTGTGGTGGAAAAATTTCACACACTGCATCTTTGTGTGCTTTTTCTGACAAATTAACAATATTTAAATCTTTTCTCTGTGAACCATGGCGGTGACCATACTGCTTCCATGTCGATGTCTATCTTGGTAGCAGAATTTTATCTCTAATTTTGTTAAAATGCCGGGTTTCTGTAACATAAAAGGAACAATGCCAAAAAACCCCACTTTTTTCAGGTTATTGCTTTCAATCTACTTGTGTTGTCACTGGATTTTAATTTTGATGGATGTAAAACTAAAAAAAAATTTCAGCTTTGCATCTTTTAGACATAGTTTTTGAAGAAGTTTTAAATGAGCAAATCAATCTCATTTTATAAAACTATCAACAAGAAAAAGCATAAAAAACAATAATCAATAGCATCAAGTAGATTTCAAATCAAATCTTTACATACACCGTATCAAAAGACATGTTACCATCTTTTGCTCACTGTCTGATATTAAATCTGAAATATTTCAAAAAGAAGCACCTAGAGGGCTATTCATGTGATATTACGCTACAACTGAAAGAACATTGAGCAATCAATAAAAATAGAGAGAAAATAAAGCAGTCCAAGAAAGAAGCCTTGAGGCACCCCTCTGACGAAAGAAGCACAGGTGGTTTGGAGAAGTAAAGAATACTTTCCAAGACTTAGAAACATTGCTGCAGTAGGGACTGATGCACTACAAAAAATAAATGCTACGATGACGGAAGAATATTATGTGAAAATATTGAGGCAACATCTCCAAGGTACTAATGTGTTTTCCAACTGATCAGTGACTCAATCCACACAGTCAGAATCACTACAAAGTGGCTTCAGGACAATTAATGATCACAAAGTTCTCAGACAGGAAGTTAAAGTTTTGGCACAAATGTACTATATCTATACAGTACAAGTAACTATCTGGATTCAGCTGTATGGCACAGTAAAGACAGCCATCAACACTTTGTGAAAATGTGGGACAATATTGATAAGAGAAAAACTTCTACAAAACAGAAAGAAGACAACAACAAGAATCCCACTGAAAGAAATATAACTTTTTTGGAGGATGCTAGTTATAATAGGTTTACAAGGCAGAAGCCTTTCTTTCAAATAAAATATTAATTCCTCTTTAAAATCTCAAAACATCTTGCATGAAACTGTGTTTTAGTGAGATGAAAGCAAGGCCGAACATTTGAGCAACGATTTTAAAAGCTGCGTATGGCACAAAAACAGCTCTGAACATGAAACAAGCACCATAACCATAGTAAAACATGGTGGTGGCATCATAATGTTTCTTCAGATTTAACTGTGATTTCTGGAGGACTTGATCAAATTATCCCTAGATGTGCTAAGTAGGCACCTGCTGGAAATCTAAAATGGATTTATTTTTGTTATAGTCGCAGTGAGCCAAAACATACATTTAAATCAGCAAAATAATGGTTTCACCAGAAGACATTTAAAGCTTGGGAATGACATAGAGTAAGTAAATCCAGGACCAAACCTGTGTGGGCAACTAAAGAAGGCAGGGAGACAAAATATGAGGACATGGCATACTAATAGACTCCGCAAAGAATTAGTTGTAGGCTGTGCACATTTATCCAACCAGGTCAGCTGTTTTTGTGTTGTTGTTGGTTGTTTGTTTTTGTTACTTTTCGTATTTATCTCCCAAAATATGCTCTTTCTTTTCAGATTATTATATTTGTGACAAAGGCAGAAAAATATTTTGAAATAATTTCGCTTTCAAATTTTCTTCAGCACAGCACCAGGTTAACAGGGATATGTATGCTTTCGACATTTATTCCCATACTGATGCATGCATTAATTTAATTTGGGCATAAAAGGCCAAACAACATGGACTAAATGGGAAAAATGTCATATTTATGTTGAAATGAATGGAACTGAATCCCTATTAGATAAACTAATTAGCAAAGTATTTAGATAGATAGATAGATAGATAGATAGATAGATAGATAGATAGATAGATAGATAGATAGATAGATAGATAGATAGATAGATAGATAGATAGATAGATAGATAGATAGATAGATAGATAGATAGATAGATAGATAGATAGATGCACTCATGCCATGCACCTCCCCTCCTCAGCCCATTTACTAGAGGTTTACTTCCACTCGGATGAATAGTAGTAGTAGTAAAATACCCTGGCTATGTATGTGCTGCTCTGCCTCCATCCCCTCCCCTCACGACTCCCTCGCTCTCCCTTTTCTCTGCATCCCTGGGCGGCAAGGGCGGCTTTAGCAGCATCCGCATCAAGCCCTGAATCCACTGCGCTCCCTGACAATTACCGACTAGGCCTCTGACTGGGAAAAAATAAGCCCACAAAAACCTCAGGACCCTCGCTGAAGACAGAGAAACAATAACACAAGCAATCTGCATCAAAATGCACAGCGTCTCTGACATTGACGACGTTATCATGCAGCAGCTTTGATTTACCGAGTGTAGCATCCCGGCGGTCCGTCATCAAAAGGCTACTCACTGTTTCTGCAGCTGGCTGGTCGGTAAGATGGCAGCCTGGAATCAGCAGTATTGTCACAAGACGGCGTCGGTCGGTGCTGCTCGGCCGGGCTCTGAGTGGTTCTGCGTCGCTACCGCGGCTCGGTTGTCTTCGACCGCTGTCAGCGTCGGATGCTGATGATGGAGTCGGTCGGTGGTTACGCGCATCAGCTGAGAGACACACACCCACCTCGGCACCGCCCCCTTCAGCGGCACGATACAAACGCCCCCTTTTGGCGTTCATCCAGTGGTTACCTGGATGGATGGATGGATGGATGGATGGATGGATGGATGGATGGATGGATGGATGGATGGATGGATGGATGGATGGATGGATGGATGGACGTGACATTCCTGAAAAGATTTCCTGAGATTCTGACCCAGCTACCTACCATACCAATCTCGTTTATTAAAAATAAAACACTTTAAAAACGACAACAATGCTGAGCAAAGTGCAAAACATTGAATTAAAGAAAAACGAGGTAAAGGAAAGAAGAAGAAAAAACACAAGATAAAGTAGTGGTTAAAATAATGATGGAATCCACTAAATAATTCAATTCATTTCAAAAATGCTTTACTGATCCCAAAGGGAAATTAAATATAGTTATAGGTCATTTAATTGAAGTTTTTGTAGATGGTGGTGGTTGTGGGTAGGAAAGCTCTACTGCAACTGCCTGTGTTGCAACACATTTGAAGAATCCTCTGACTGAAGACACCTTGTGTCTCATGAACAAAATTTATTCATAAATCTCTTGATTTGATATAAAATGCATTTTTTGAGCATCATATCCAAAGTAATCCCCAAAGCAGAACTAGTCGTCTTCATAAGATTGTTGAGCATCTTTAAGGTTTGGATGCTGCCTCAAATTATGACAGCAGAAGATTCAATACTCTAAAGATTATAATTCCACTGTGTTCTCTGTAATTCCAATCAGCTAATTTACAAACGTTAAAGAAAACACCACAAGTAGACTTTGTCAGCTTTCGGAAAACTTAGCTTTTCATAGCTGAGATCAAAGAAATGTGAGTTTATTTATAACGTCAGCCACCAGACTGAAGGATTATTCCAAGTGTTTT